CTCATTTCGAGTCGTAAACAACTTAGGGTTAAGTTGAGTATTAAGAAACTATTCAACCAGTAAACATTCCGTTCGCCAACTAGAGAGATTTTTCTCACGGTTAGATGTTCAGTATCTAAATTTATAATATGTACTATTATACATACGGCGATTTTGTATTAACTAATTATCTACTTCTATTTTATGTCTTTTTTTAGTCGGAATCCACATCGTCAGCTTCCGCTAAGTTCGCCCTCCTCAAATGTGTTTGGTGTAACCAAATGCTCAGTATCAATGATCGACCAAAGCTATTGGAATGTCTGCATGTTTCCTGCTCTCAATGTGTCAATACAAAATTCTCCGAGTTGGACCGCACTATGCCACCCCTCATACATTGTCCCGTATGTAATATGGCCTCACAGAATGAGTTTATCATCGATAATCAATTCCTGATCGAGCAATGTACCGCCGCTGGTGATAACAGCCTGACAGATGGTGGCTCCACAGATGCATCCAAAACGACCGTTACGGCCAATATCACCTGCAGCAGCTGCTCTGACAATGCTATAGCGACGTCATGGTGTGTGGATTGCTCTGAATATATTTGCGACAGTTGCGTGCAGGCGCATCAACGTCTCAAGATCACCAAGGATCACACAATCAAGCCAAAGGAAGAAGCCAATAATGAACAATTGCCCGGAGCAGCAGGTGTAGATAAATTACATATGTGTCACCTACATCCGCAAGAGAAATTGTCGCTGTTTTGTGAAACTTGCGATAAGTTGACATGCCGCGATTGTCAGCTCAGCGATCATCGCGATCATAAATACAAGTTTGCGCACGAGATTGCCACTGAAACGCGACAAGCGTTAAAAACGCTCGTTTCGGAAATCAACTACAAGCGCTTCCTCCTCTCATCCGCCACAAAAGTGATTGATGATCGACAAAAACAAATTGCCGATCGTAAGAAGGATCTCATTAAGGAGATTACTGCGATGGTAGTGAAGATCACAAATACAGTAAATATGCGGGGCAAACAGTTGGCTATGCGTCTAAATGAGGTGTGCGATACCAAAATGAAGGTACTAATCGAGAAAAAAGATGCTTTGCAGCTGCTGTCGGACAACACTGATCACTGCATCGAGTTTATGGAGAACGCTATGGAAAAGGGCAGTGACTACGCAATTCTGTCTAGCAAGAAATCGTTGGTGCGACATCTGCAGAAGCTGAAATGTCAACGTGCTGACATTCCGAACCCGGAAATTCCAGTGCGAATTCAAGTACAATTGAATCAGGTTTCTGAATTGCAGAAAGGTAGGTGGATGACTACCATTTTGATGGAATGAATTTCAAATATCTTATATAGAAAAATTATTTAAATTGAGTTTATTTTCATTAAATTTAATTACAATTTGTTTACTTTGTTTTACTTGGCTAAAATTAAATATAAATAGGAAATAAATTATTAATTTCCAAATGTAATTAAATAAGTGAAATGCAGTTATAGTTATTTTCAACAATTTTATTGAGCTTGAGGCCGTTTTTAATGAAATTTTTTGTGGAAAAAACAATAATTTAAATTTCGGAGATAACAACATCTCCTCATCGGACTTTTTCACCTGGATTCGATATTAGATTTCAATTTCTCTTCCTTGGATTTGCAGTCATTTCGCAGCTTGGCACTGTTATTGTAGACGGCAAACCGTATCCGCCAGCACCATCTCCCAATGGCCCGCCACGCCAGCAGCCAAGTCCCAATATGGCGCCGCCACTGCGTCCTGGCCTTCCGCCCGGCATGCCCGCAGGCATATCTCCCACAGGCCCTCCAGGCGGCTATGGACCCCAGAATGGACCGCCGATATACAACAACAGTTCTCCGGCACAGCAGCAGTTTAACAACATGCAAATGAATCGCAACTACGCTGCGGAGGGCGCAGGTAAGGGTACGCCAGCATGTCGTTCACAGTTTACAATTACACTCATCACATTTATACGTTAGGCGCACTCTTCATTTAACAGTTACATATTAAATAAGCCATTTATTTGACGCTCGTTATTTGCTTGTTTCGTTTTGCAGTTCGCTTCGGTGCCATGCCACCAGTGGGAATGCAGCGTCAAGGTCAACCACATGTTAGTTCCTCAACACACCCTCAAAATATGGGTAAGCCACATACCTACATATGTACATACATTATAAAAAATACATAAACAAATACTTGTGCTTTCGCGGTCAATCATCTTCTGCAATTAAAGGTTTAACGATTACCTTATTGATTTTTATTTAGATATGAGCTTACGTGGCNTGTACATATGTACATACATTATAAAAATACATAAACAAATACTTGTGCTTTCGCGGTCAATCATCTTCTGCAATTAAACGATTTAACGGTTTAACGATTACCTTATTGATTTTTATTTAGATATGAGCTTACGTGGCCTACTGAATAATCAAGCAGCGCAGAGCCCCAATCAAGCACATATATCCTTTAACGGCCCCCCTAACTATCCCGGTGGTCCACAAGGCGCCGCTTCGCCACACCAACAAATGACTACCCAAATGCGGCCGCATTTTATGGGCGGTCCTCCAGGCCAACAACATCAGAATTACCCGCAGAATACGCCTGGTGGACCGAATAACCCGAATTTCATAAACAATACTGCACGTTTCCAGAACTATCAGCGTATGTCGAGTCACGCGCAACAGCAGGCCGCGGTTGCAGCAATGTCAAGCGGGGGCGGACCTGGTGGCCCGTGCGGAAGCCAAATACCGTCGCCAAACGCTATGCAGCGACCGCAAATGATGCCCAATCCAATGCAGAATGTAAGATAATATTTCTAAAAATTGTTTTATTGCAAGAATTCGCTAAACTTTTGGTGATTTTTATGCTTTTGTAGAACATGGGGTTTCATGGGAGCCAGCCTGGCTTCAGTCCCGGTCCCCCTCAGACATCGCCACAAATGAATAGCAGCTTGAGCAGCATGCACAGCATGGCCAAGTGGCACATACCTCAATCGGCGCAGCAAACAAGTAAATTCCAATAGATTAGCAACGTGGCAAAGTTTTTGCAAAGTAGTATATACTTAAAATCTTCTATTGTTTTTTTATTTTTACATAGCTTGTCCGCAACAAGGTCCGCTCATGCAGTTTGCGAATGGCCGTCAAACGGAAAACTTTAAAATTTCCCTAAAATCTCCAAATACTCTGAAGAATACCACACCGCCAAATGGCAACTCGTCGGCGCATAGTATGCAAGGCGCTTCTAGCTTGCATGCCGCTTCGCTTGGGCTCGGACCAGCTGTCTCCATACTACCCAACGTCACATCAACGAATCCAAAGACGCCGAGCCCGAGCACTAACGAGGTGGGCAGTAGGATCATTTGTATTTTTAGACATTCACGCAACAATATTGCGCTAATGCTTTTTTGCACAGAGCTAGTTTATAAAATATTTGTATTTCTGCTTTCGTTATATAGAACGCAAAAGATTTCACCGAACCGATTGACAAGGTCCGTGACGATTCTATAAACGATCTAATGGCCACAATTGCCAAATTGGACTCGAACGGTGTTCAGGTTTTGCCGGAAGGGCGCACCAAGACCACATCGCCACAAGTGCATAGCTCAACCGATCTATCCAATACTCAAGAAGGTAAGCAAAAAGTTGTCAAAATTAAATTTTCATTTAAGGTACTGTGGTATAGTTATAAAAACTGTTTAATATCCAACGAGGAACTGGCCCAATGTTGATACATCGAAGTTTCTTTAAAAAAATTTTGTTGTATCCACTATTTGTCTGGAACTTGTTTGATTTTGAGCTCATTTGCTATTTAGCTTCCTCATCAAGCCATTCATTATTAATCATTACTGGAAAACTTGCTTTTTATTGGCATATATGCTCTTATAGTTTTTGCAAATCAAAATTTAGAATTCGCTAAAAGTTTTCCAGTCCTATGTGTCACATATCTGTATTACTAGCACAAAAACTGCAATATTTGAATAATTCAATTGTAAGTTCCTCTGATTAATCTACAATTACTTGTAACTTTGCTTTGTTTGTTTCTTTTTCGAACGTATCGAATCAAATCGTAATGTATCGTAATCGAATTAAACTTTCGTCTCTTTAAATAATGCATACTAATCATTAATGCCAATACACATACAATACCAAATATTTAATTCAAACACCTTAAAATGCAAATACTCGAATCAACTGAAAACTAATTAGTTAATAATAAAAATGATCAAAAAGACGATCCGAACGAAGATTGGTGTGCGGTTTGCCTTGACGGTGGAGAACTCATGTGCTGCGACAAGTGCCCGAAAGTGTTTCATCAGAATTGTCACATTCCTGCGATCAGTTCGCTGCCAGACGAGAGCGAAAGTTGGCAATGCCTATTGTGCGTAAACCTCAAAGAACTGGCTAACAACACAGATAACACACAGAAAGTACCCGGCGAGCTGAGTCGTTTAGAATTACAGATAGTGCAACGTATTTGTCTCGAATTGTACTGCCAGTACGAGCAGAGTCTGCACTTCCGCGAACCGGAACCGCCTACTAATACAGCCTATTATGAGATTATTTGCAAGTAAGTGTATAGATATTGCAATCTTTAGCTAAGAAATTTGACTCATATGTATATCCGCTTTCTCTTGTTTACAGCCCAATGTCTTTGGATGTTATACGTACAAGATTGGATCCTTCCAGTCCAAATCATTATAAGGATATCGCTGGCTTTGTATCGGATGTGCGTCTAATATTTAAAAATACTTACCTCTTTTATCAAGTAAGTGTCTCGAATTGCTTTCAAATTGCATCTTAGTTTTAACGTTTTCTGAAAAAAAAACAATCGTTTCCGTTCAAACGATTCATGGTCCAAATCACGGCATCCGTAATCACTCTTTTCGAATCGAATGAAGTAAAATGACAGCTGACAATACAATTTTAATTGAAAAAGCGACCCCGCTACCGAATACCGTAATCTCAAACAAAAATTTCTAATCGAATTTGATTCGGTCGCGGATACCGTGATTCTTGTCCAGTTTGTTATCGTTTAGGTAATTATCAAGAGAATTTTATTTTCGTTTTTAATATAAAAAATTCCAATCGTTAGCGTTGACGTTGTAGTATACATTTAGGAGCTAGGTGTTAGATTCGTTAACTGTGTAACTGGATTAGCGTGTTGTTGCAAGTGCATTTATTGTACCACCATAATCAAAAAATCCCACGCTCATTAACAAGACACAACGAATACACAAAAGACGCTCCAACGGATGTCAGATCTAAGTAACCGGAACGACCCAGATTCATACATCCGCACGGCAGCCGGNGCATCCGTAATTACTCTTTTCGAATCGAATGAAGTAAAATGACAGCTGACAATACAATTTTAATTGAAAAAGCGACCCCGCTACCGAATACCGTAATCTCAAACCAAAATTTCCAATCGAATTTGATTCGGTCGCGGATACCGTGATTCTTGTACAGTTTGTTATCGTTTATGTAATTATCAAGAGAATTTTATTTTCGTTTTTAATATAAAAAATTCCAATCGTTAGCGTTGAAGGTGTAGTATACATTTAGGAGCTAGGTGTTAGATTCGTTAACTGTGTAACTGGATTAGCGTGTTGTTGCAAGTGCATTCATTGTACCACCATAAACAAAAAATCACACGCTCATTAACAAGACACAACGAAAACACAAAAGACGCTCCCACGGATGTCGGATCTAAGTAACCGGAACGACCCAGATTCATACATCCGCACGGCAGCCGGTTCTACGTACCGGAATCGTACGAACGGCGTTCACAGGGAATGTGTCTCGAGTTATGTAGACTCCCGCCCTGTGAATGCTGTTCTATTCACACAACCACCGGACGTGGACGGGACAGAACTTTATCTGCCTCGGGAGACCCGCACTACAATAGCCTAACTGCGCACTAGCTATTGCAGCAGGCTAAACTCTTACCTAAGCAGAATCAATGAGGATTTGCCCAACCAATGCCCGGCATGTGGAGAGTCGCCACATGACTCCCGGCACCTCTTCACATGTCCTGAGAACCCCACCCAGCTGACACCCCTGTCCCTATGGACAAACCCTAGCTGAAATGGACGACAACGTTGATGGATGAACCGACCCGAGCGGGGCTTAGTAGCCGCTACAACAACAACAACGTACCGGAATTACTTGGGTTTTACCCGACCCAGGGCTGTTGTTTCGGCGATCTAACCCCGTTAGGTCTGATATCGTGGCGACCTATGCTGACCTTGGCATCAGACCAACCGACTTTGTTTCCGCGGAACACTGAACCGATTTCAACTTTACCAAAACTGATTGGAAAAGCTTCGCGGATTTTACTGAAAGCACCTTCGCTGCCCTCCTCACACGTAAGTTCCGCAGGGTTGTCACCGCTGCTGCAGCTCGCTTCATCCCAGCAGGATGCATTAAGGATCCACGTCCGAATTTTCCTGCCGAAGCAGCTGTTCTAGCTGATGAGCGCGACAACCTTCGTCAGGCCGAGCCCGGAAATCCCCGTATTAGGGATCTCAATTCGGAGATTCGGCAACTTGGGGAACGTACATAAGCGGAAGAAATGGGAAGAGCATTTGAAGACCTGCAACTTCGCCTCTGGTGTGAGCAAGCTTTGGTCAACCGTGAGGTCGTTGTCCAACCCGACGAAGCGCGACGACAGAGTCGAGATAGATTTTGGTGACCACGCTTCGTCGGACCCGGAGAGATGCGCGAGCTATTTTAGCCGGCAGTTCATTCTGCATCCTCCGGTGGATAAAGCCAAACGTCGACTGACCAGAAGGCTGCACAAAATGCCAAAACCTAGTGCACCTCTTGTTTTCACCAGCGGTGAGGTAAGGGTAGCCATCGGGAAGGCGAAAGCCTCCAAAGCCATTGGACCCGACGGAATATGCATGTTGATGCTGACAAATTTGGGTCCTGCGGGAGTAGCGTACCTAACGGAGGTCCTCAACCTGTCTATGGCCACTCATTCCAGACATCTGGAAAATGGGGAGAGTGGTCCCACTGCTCATACCGGGGAAACCAGCCAACAAAGGAGAGTCTTATCGCCCGATAACTCTCCTTTCCCCGGTAGCGAAGACACTCGAGGCCCTGCTGCTCCCGTACTTTACGAACCACCTGACCCCAGCGAAGCATCAACATGGGTTCCGTAAAGTGCCCGCCCCTTTGAGAGAACTGTTCTAGTAGCGTTGGACCTGTCCAAGGCGTTCGACACTGTCAGTCATTCAACGCTACTAGAAGATATAGAGGCCTCCTCACTCCCACAGGGACTCAAACGGTGGTCGGCGAATTACCTGAGTGGTCGACACTCGTCAGTAATTTTCAGAGACAAAACTAGCAAGCCACGTAAAATTAAACAGGGGTACCACAGGGTGGTGTCCTGTCCCCGCTACTGTTTAATTATTACATCTCAAAGCTTCCTCAGCCACCAGAGGGTGTTAATATAGTCTCCTATGCTGACGATTGTTCGATCATGGCGTCTGGGAATGGAATTGATGACTTGTGCTCGAAAGTAAACGGTTACCTCTCCGAACTTTCTCGCTTCTTCACCGCAAGGAGCCTTGCCCTATCCCCTGCGAAATCCTCGGCAACCCTTTTCACCACCTGGACGAAGGAGGTCAGACTACAACTGGGTATTCACGTCTATGGCGTAACAATACCGCCGGTGAATAACCCGAAAATCCTCGGAGTTACCTTCGACAGTCTGCTCTCCTTCTCGGCGCATACAACCGCAATTGTCAACAAAGTACAGAGCCGCAACAATGTCCTCAAGTCGCAGGCCGGCAGCACTTGGGGCAAAGATTAAGAAACGTTGTTGGAGCATAACATAATGCTCTGCAAGCAGTTCCTTGCTGGGAGCCACAGACGTGGCTCGCGGAAAAGCCCTCGCCACGGCACGTCAGGAGGCATCTTTACGAACTGTCGGACGAAGTCGAGAGGTTTATCAAACAACCTCTGGACCCGTCAACCTACCGACAGGCCCTGAGCGACATACACAGGGAATCAGTCTCAAGTTATGTAGACTCCCGCCCTGTGAATGCCGTTCTAGGCACACAACCACCGGACGTGGACGGGACATAACTTTGTCTGCCTCGGGAGACCCGCGCTACAATAGCCCAACTTCGCTCTGGCTATTGCAGCAGGCTCAACTCCTACTTGAGCAGAATCAACGAGGATGTGCCCAACCAATGCCCGGCATGTGGAGAGTCGCCACATGTCTCCCGGCACCTCCTCACATGCCCTGAGAACCCCACTCAGCTAACGCCCCTGTCCCTATGGGCAGCCCCTGTGGAAGTAGCACAATTCCTGGGCCTCCCCCTAGCTTAAATTGACGACAACGTTGATGGATGAACCGCCCCTAACGGGGCTTAGTAGCCGCTACAACAACAACAGCAACAACTACCTGGACGAAGGAGTAACTTTCGACAGTCTGCTCTCCTTCCCTGCGCACACAACCGCAGTTGTCAACAAAGTACAGAGCCGCAACAACCCAGAAGATAATTTAGGTAGGCGTACTTAAGTAAAGCCATTCTTTTTTTACTCCACGCGATTTCAGTCGACCAGTGCAAGAAATTGAACTACCGATTTCACATTGCATTTCCAGAATGCACCACCGTGCACTCATTGTATTTGTATCCTGAAGCTATCTTAATAGAGAGTTGGCTACTTTCTCTTTAGTTTCTACTCTAAATTTCTAAATTTGAATCTGGCTGAAAAATTCGTATAATCTTGTTTTGACCCATGGTTCGTGTTATGTAACTGTTTAAAACTTAGAACAGCCATACTTCCAGACATATTTCTAAATTTTATTTAATGTTACCCTTGATTTTCAGGAGGATTCAAAAACATTCACTAATGCAAAATATTTGGAGAACTTCTTCGAAGAACAATTGGCCAAATGGCTGCCAAATTTCGCTAACAAATCCCATTCAAATGCATTAAATGGTAATGTAAATACAAATAACATCAGCAACCCAACAAATAACAGCAATAATAGTGCTTCCACGTCGACAGCAGCATCTCCAGGTCTCATGAATATCGCCACCGGAGCCGTTGGCTCACCCGGTAGCATTGCATTAATGGAGAACGGTAGAAAGAGCTGCAGTGCAGCTTTAAGTCGGGATGATGACTCCTTCATTCCGCCAAAGAGATCACGTAAACTAACCGAATAGGAAAAATTTAATCAGCTACTTAACAGCATGCTAGCAACAATCAATAATGGCAACGAAAGCGAAGAAGCGCTCGCACTGCTCAGTCTATGCTGCCCGCCGCAAGCGCAGGCGCCGAGCCTACTTTTCTAATGCCTAGCTATGGCGATTACATTTAATAAAAACGAAAACGAGGATTTAAAACTTATTAACGCAAAATGCCACAAGATGAGTTAGTAAAAAATATCATACGGCATTGATCAAAGTTATGCTAACGCCACGCATTTGCAATCTAAAATGTTTTTGTGTCAGCATTATTTAAAGTAGTGATTTTGAAGATTTTATTGGCATCGAATTTATATAAGAAATGTTGCAGCACTGGCATGAGCCCCAAGATCTGCAGTACCGTCTTCAAAATTTGTATTCGAAGTAACATTGAGAAACTTCCCATACTATGACAACAGTAAAGAATTAAATATAAGAATAGACATTATTTGAAAGACATCGTTTTGAAATTAACTATATATATACATATGTATGTTGTAAATAATTTAACAAGAGTAATACAAGAGAAATTAAATTTACTCATTTTGAATTTGAAAAAGAAAAAACAGAATAGTATCAAAAGCATAATCAATAAAAAAAAAAAACCAAATTGCACTTACTAAAATTTAAACTAAAGCTGCACCTAAAATAATCTTAAGAGCGCAAAGAACAAAAGTATAGAAGATAATACAAATAAACTCATTGCGATCATCATTCACAAGCTCATTTGTATATACCATAATGCATTCTGCCTACTAATGATATAATACACTAAAAATGTGTAATCTACCGATCTACGCATTGACAGCCAAAATATCTCTGAGTGATTACATATATGATATATGAAGATGCAAATAAACCAAGGAGAAATAACTGAAATGCAATATACTGTTACTGATACATGCAACCTAAATTTTATAAAATACAGCTGCTTATCGCTGAGACGCCACATTTCAAATATGTCATAAATTGTGTATTTGCGACATGAAACTTTATTGATTTTGTAATTAGTTCGAGACATGCATCCAATGAAATCTTAAATCTTTCAAAAACTATGATATTCATAACTCATATATTGTTAATTTACCGTTTATATTAAATATGAGTTTGTGATTNTGAACTTTATTGATTTTGTAATTAGTTCGAGACATGCATCCAATGAAATCTTAGATCTTTCAAAAACTCATATATTGTTAATTTACCGTTTATATTAAATATGAGTTTGTGATTTTATAAAAAAATTATTACGCTAATAAATGGTGAGTACTGGATTAACTGTGGTGGAATTGAGAACTTTTCCAGAGAGAATTACTGAGCAATGTTGGAACCTAGAAGATTAGGTTCGTAAACTGAGTTAAGCTGGGTCTTTCTTTAATAGAAATCGCACTAAAAATTTACTTTGCGTAATAAGTTCCACTCGTNGGCCGTAACTAAGTAAAAATCCAAAATTCCCTTCTTGATTGTTTATGATGCATTTCATCGAATTAGCAGTCCCCAAATCATTTTAAGCAATACTAAATTTTAGTCAGTTACGNTTTATAAAAAAATTATTACGCTAATAAATGGTGAGTACTGGATTAACTGTGGTGGAATTGAGAACTTTTCCAGAGAGAATTACTGAGCAATGTTGGAACCTAGAAGATTAGGTTCGTAAACTGAGTTAAGCTGGGTCTTTCTTTAATAGAAATCGCACTAAAAATTTACTTTGCGTAATAAGTTCCACTCGTACGAAGCCAAAAACATTAACTCACTATTAACATTTTTACAGTAAAATACATACAAGTATAACTTTGTGATAAAAAAAAAAATATTAGACCAGCGAAAGTCTACAAGTATTCTGAAAAATGAAAAACTTTTTTATTTTTTAGAGCATAAATCCATTTCATATTTTCGTTATTGCATTCACGCGTTTAATTTCTGCGGAGTCTCGCGAACGTTCAACGCTGTAACGCGACTAGTTAAAAACAAATGAACAAACATGAAAAAATACACAAATTACATACGTACATACATAGGTATACAAATATAAATCAAAGCATCCGAGAAAGCATAGCGTAGAAATGTTATAATGTAGTTTATATGTATGTAGCTCCTCATACCAAGTATTTACAATAAATAAGACACGTTTTTGGCAAATTACCCCAACTAACCAATTCAATACAAAAACTAGCTCATATTGAAAAGAGTGTTTAAAAATTAAAAAAAGGCAAAGTATTTTAGTTACGAATGGACATGTGTGTTTTGCATAGGGTTTTTATAAGTTCTACATGGATATGCATACGCAACCATTGTCTAGTTTTTTTATTATTACCACATCATACATTCGTAGATACTAAATTTAAGATTAAAAACTAATGTGGAACTCAAATGAATGTTAGGTAATATACACATATCGTTACCTTAATATAGAAACGCTCTAACTCATAATGTCGCTGAAATACAAAAAGCCGTAACTAAGTAAAACTCCAAAATTCCCTTCTTGATTGTTTATGATGCATTTCATCGATTTAGCAGTCCCCAAATCATTTTAAGCAATACTAAATTTTAGTCAGTTACGGCTTTTTGCGGTTCAGCGACAATATGAGTTGGGGCCTTTCTATATTAAGGTAACGATACAATACTTTTTATTTTCATTGTGTAGAACCCGTATGACTGTGGACGTACCAACATAATTGCACATAATACCAATGCATACATGCATGATGGGTAACCCTTTATAGAGAATGTATGTATGTATAATTGTTGATTGCGTATACGGATATAAGCCATTCGCAAAGTTTTTTTGATACCATATTATATATATCACATAGCACCAATTTAGAAAGAAAGCAAAATTGGCTATTTTCGTTATTTGTAATTATAAATTCTACTATAATAGTCATCATAGTGACACAGTGCAACAAGATTATATGCATTTGATAAAAGCAGAAGTTAATGAAAGTTTACACCTCCCATAACAAAATCCCAAAAAAAATTTTTAGCCTATGCATGTTTTTTTTTTTATTTGAATTTGGCGAATGAGTTCCTCGACAGCAAAAGCAGTAAGCAAAAAAAAAAAAAAATAAATAAATAAAAAATTGGATAGAATTTTAATCAATTTTTCCGGCATATAGGGTATTTTCGGAATCGCTAACTTTAAATATGTAGATTAAAAATTCTTTTGGGGTTTGCTATGGAAGGTCTAAACTTTCATTTTCTTTTGGTTTCATCAAATACGGAGGCATAAACTTACACTGTTTTTAACGACTTTTATTTAGATGTATGCATTTGCATACTAAACATTTCTACAAAAGCACCCATAAAATACGTATACATACATACAGATAATTACTAAATTTTTGTAGTTTTTATCGTAGAAATAGTTTATAATTTATTGACGCTGGTATTCCTTACCATATTGCTACTGAAGAGTTAACGATATGGTTACTACGTATGCTAAAGGGTAGTGTAAGAAAGTATGTATATGCTTGTATGTACATACATGTAAGCATGTGAATTAAGTTATAATCTACTGCATTATTTTTAAGCAAACATATGAATTAATAAACAAGTGAATATTTAATGTAAATCAATAATTTGTCTTCTTATTTTAATATATATTTAATACTAACCAATTTCTTTCGTGTGGCGCAACGCCTCGCCGACTGTTGATCTTGCTTCTTACAGCTATTCGTTTGTAAGAAGTGCCCCTGTTTTAATTCGAATGTAATTTCTTTGGAATCATCTTCTTACAGTGCGTAGTAGAATAATACAAACAAGAATTTAACTATGAATTCATATTTAACTACGGAAATCATATCGTTTGAAATTATGCAACTTGGAAAATCAATATTTTTCTGCACGAATTTGGATTTCCACGACAATTATTAGTTCCACGAAAAAACATTCAAAGTTATAAAGATTTTAACTATGGAGTCATGATACAATTATTGCATCACACTATAGGGTCAGTGGCCCACGCGGGTTTAAATTTCCTAACTAAGCATCGTGAATATGAGAATCGAAAGTTTTATTTCTCGTTGTGGTTAACTATAAGAGTTTACCTGGGCTCGAATCGTTCCATACGATATCGTATTACTCGTCACGTAAAAACACACTTTTCGGATTATGACATACGTGAACATACTCTATCCCATTCTGGGCTCGAATCGTGACATCCGTTCACGGATCGAAAACGATACGAAAGAAAATTACGTGATACCATCAGGCAGTATAAGTTGAATGGGACAAAGAGTACGTTCACGTATGTCATAATCCGAAAAATGTGTTTTTACGTGACGAGTAGTACGATATCGTATGTGACGATTCGAGCCCAGCTTATACGGCCGACATATCACGTAATTTTCTTTCGCATGGTTTTCGATCCGTAAACGGATGTTACGATTCGAGCACTGGTCTTCAAAGTGACGCAGGAGGACTACACAAGTTATTATCCCGATATTTTAAATTAGCGCATTCCTTGGACAGCGGAATATTTGCGCAGGAATTCCTGAACTAAGTCGTATCATCAAGCCATGATCAAACTGAACGCGAATTCCGGTCACACAAAGCCTTTCTTATAGATGATGCACAGCAAAGGGTTTAGCTGCTGGAGTGATAGTCCTTGCCAGATATAACGAACTTTATTACTGCCCGGAACACAGCTATGTACGGGTCTCGGTATAGATTGACGATGTGGTGCGGAAGAGTTTGTAAGTTTCTCCTGACTGTTTACAACAACTCACATTTGGAGAAGATAATAAGAGCCGCAGAACTGTATCGCTCAGGCACAAAACTTTACAAGAGCGTGCAATTATTGGCGTATGTTCACGACATCGACATCATCGGTAACATCAGTTTGGATAAGAAAGCAAAGCGATTGGGTCTGGTGCTCAACGAGGGCAAGACGAAGAAACTCCTGCATCACACAAACATTCGCGGCTTAGCGCCCACGTCAGTGTTGATAGTTACAAATTTGAAAAGGTAGACGACTTCGTCGGCCTTGAAATCCAACGGAGAATCACATTTATCAACAAGTGCTACTTTTTACTAAGAAGTAAAAGTCCTCTCGCCTCGTTGTACAAAAATCACACTCCCGTGCTGGTGTATGGCTCGGAGGCATGGATAATGAAAACATCTGATGAACGCGTTGGCGATTGCGAATACCATAGACAATTTAAAGATGAGCTGTATGAGCTCTACAACGATATAGACATAGTGCAGCAAATAAAATCCAGCGGCTACGCTGGCTAGGTCATGCCGTTCGAATGGGCAGAAACGCTTCAGCTCTGAAAGTATTCAACGCGGGTCGTTGTTTTGGACTCGGCCGAAATCGCTTAGCCGGTTGCAGCGCCAATAAAGAAGAAGAAGAGGCAGCGGAAGATTCCCCATATATTTGGTGACAAAAAGAAAAAAAACGTACTCCGATTTTGATGAAAATTGATACGTGGTATACTTTTGCCTTCTTCTTATTTGGCACTACAACCGTTTGTCGGTTTGCGCCGAGGCCGAAAAGATTCACCAGCTGTTCA